CGTTTTACCATAGATTTCCATGATAGATTTATATTCTTTTGACCACAAATTTATTTTCCTTTAACCATAGACTAACTTATATTGATTAACCTAACTCTACCGATTTGGCTAAACCAAATCGAACAATATCATATTAACCGAACCAAACCATTTAAACCGGAATAAACCAAATTTTCAATTAAAAAAAACAAAAACTAAGGTTTGATATTGAAGATGTCGTGTGTGTTCTATGTCGCCTTATCCCTTTTTAGTCTTCATCTTCTTTTTTTAACATTTAGTATTCATCTTCTTATTCTTGATTCTCCTATTTCAAAAAATACATGGTGCTTATTAATTTGATTTGTGGTAAATGGATGCTTCAAAATAATAGATGGTTGTTTGGTGTTCAGTAGATTCATTATCAGAAAATGAGTATTACATTCAAAGCTTGGAACTTGGAGGATAGTAAAAGAAAAAGAAAAAAACCAAGTTACTCAAATTTTGTGTGAGTTACAGAAAATATGTTGCCAACTCGCTTTCCTTGTGCTTCATGTCCATGAATAACGACGTGATCTGATGCTTCCTCTTGTGAAGCTTTGACATTTGGACCTTCGATGAAGTCGCAGGCTGCAATACATATCCAAACAAGACAACATTTAAAAGGCAATACAAAGAATTCAAGTTTGGTATGATATCAACTAGCTATCCCCACACAGAAGTTTTGCAGCAAGAGATAAATGAGATAAATTTCACACTCTTACTCAATTCACTGTCAATGGTTAAATTCACAATCTCTTACGAACAAAGGCCATAAATTTACAGAACCAAACCAAACCACAAACAACACTCAAGGAGTAGAGTTTTAGAATTCTAGAGACACTGATTATCAGATATGGCGTACAATCGATATTATATTTGGTTTAACAGTTCAATTTCAAGTTTTCTCAAATATTCATAACTCTACGAGCTATCTAATGGAAGAGAAAAGGGTTTTGATTTATCAACTCAGAGCAATATTAAAACCAAAAAAAAAAAAACTCAGAGCAATAACAGACCCTAGAGACAAATCTGAAGTGTGGCTCAGGAGGGATCTGCTTGTCGGCTTGTTCGATTTGTGAGGAAGATTTTACGCAATTATGACGGCAGAATCTCGTTCCCGGAAGCTGATCTTAACAGATTACGAATGCGGAAGTTCGTGGGAGAAAGAAACGACGACCAGAGAAAGCTCGCCGGAACCGGAAGAGATAATCAGTTTTGACAATAGTTTTGTCGATCAAAAGAGATTTATTTTTCTTTAATAAAATTTGTTTTTAATATGATATTGAATTAATAATTGTTAAGAATTATAATGGTATTATTGTGATTAAATTTAGGTGTGATGGGTTAACCAATTTTTTACACATTTTTTATTAACTGTTTTTGAGTGGATGCTAGTCTAGTAATATATAAATGAATGAGTGCTAATCTGTTTAATTTTCTCTAAATAAAATCATTCAATATCATTTCTAGTATGTCAACAATAAAAATCGGTAGACATAAATACAATCATAAAAATGGTTAGATTTGAACTTAAATGAATTGTGTTTAGAAGGCGCGATCGCCCCCCTCTAGATGATGACGTGGTGTTTTTAAAAGAAAGTTAGACAACTCATATATATGATTTTGGGTTATTTTTTAACAAAATTTCTTTTTTCTATAATAACTCCAATATATCTTGTGATTTTTTTGACTATTTTTTTCTCAATGACTAATTTAGGTAATTTGAAGCAATTTACTATAAATTATAATTCTAAAAGTTATTATACTATATATAAAATGGTGACCTCTTGAAAAGATAATATCATCTTTAACAAATCATCATGATAAAATCATCTAAAAGAAATGTCATATCCATCTTCTGCTCAATGTTTACTGCTTCCATAGTGGCAATATATTTGATTTGTTTTACTACTCTTCTGCAAGATCAAAAACTATTTTCAATTCGTGGTCCTCTTTTTAGGGTCTCGATTCAAAACAAAAATGATTATCTTCTTGGAGTACATTGTAAATCTAGAGAAGATGATCTTGGTTTTCATATTCTTAAAAAGGATGAATTATTTGGTTGGAAATTTTACGTAAATATTTATAATACAACACTTTATTTCTGTGGATTTAGTGAAGGACAAACAAATAAAGGCGTATTCGACATTTATAGATCGGGTAGAGATTTTGAGAGATGTAGAAATTGTACATGGATTGCAGAAAAAGATGGTATTCATGGATATAGCGAGCGTCCGAAGCCAGTTTCATGGTTTTTAAGTGGTTAAAGTAATATGAAATTATTTTCTTATAAAAAATGTAATACAATTGGTTAATACATAAATAAAAATTTGTTCTAAAAACCTTTTTGTTTTAAATTTTAATTATGTAGTTGTCTAAGTACAAAAATCCCTTATACATTATTTGGAAAGTCATTTGTGAGAAAATGTTTATTTGTCATCTTCCAATCACTCTCACAAAAATAATGTGACATGACTTGAAAATAATGTGACATGATATTTTTGAATCAATAACGAAATATGCTACAAATAAATTTATATATGTTTCCATAAAAAAATCAAAAGATGTTTTCATTAATATTTTATGAGATTTTCCTTTTTCATTCTAAAATTATATATAAATTTTTCGTTTCTCATCAACAATACTTTAGAAATTGATTATTGTAATAATAAATTCTAGAACATTTCATTTAATAACAAAGACTTACCAAAATTTTAAAATATTTTTTGATACGTTTTGGGAAAACAACTTTCTAGATTTATAACAACAAACATAATTATTCTTTTGAATTTTTTTTTTAATATAAGACAATTTAAAAATAATAAAAACATTATTTAATTCGAAAGTAATAAAAAAATATATTTTTAATCCCTGTTTCAATTATCAAAATTTATGATAATATATTTTAATGTTTTAAAATATTAAATAATTTATTTATATTCTAAATTCTACTTAAGATATTCGAACAAACCAAATTTAACATAATTTATACCTATTATACAATTTAAATAATATGAGTTGTACATATTTATTTAAAAAATATGTACTCTTTAAATTATTGTTCTGAATAATTTCTATTTTTATAATAAATTTCATATTTTATTTATAAAGTTATAAGCAAATAATAAAACATCAGTGTGAATATTTTTACAATTTACGTAAAATTAATAATAATAATGTTTAATTTAAATGTCCAAATTCAATATTGAATATAACAAAAAACAATATTGATAAAGGATATTTTGATTAAAAATGCAAACACAAACCAAAATCAAACCATACAATATTATCCATTGTAAATATTTTCATTTTAAATATTTTTATTCACAAATAGAATAATTCACACGGGTATAACCAAATAGATATTGAACACAATTGATCATAATATGTCGTTTTTGTCAATTTTCAAGTTATAACCCACTGTAGTAGTAGTTTGGTGCAATGTGTTAACAGCAATGTTGATACTACAACGTTAATAGAAATAGAGAAAAGTATAGAGAAGACAAAATCTTACTTGTTATTAAAAGAGACATGTAAATGAACTTATTGTCGATGCCGTTTGAAGAACAATGACCCTTCGTCTCTGGCTTAGCTCTTCCGGCATGGGTTTCTTCTGACAAGCTTGCTCTCGTGTTTCTCGGGGCTTTCCAAACTCCCCCGTAGAACTTCTGTCCATAGCCCATCCTCTAACTCCATGGTTGTTACAACCAAGCAAGGGTAGTTGCGATTGGCTTCAGATCCAGACCGGGTGATACCGGAAGACCTACGCTCTCTCTTCGCGAGTACTAGTCCGGTGCAGCCGAGCTTACGACTCCCACTAGAACCGCCTGATCCTCTGTATTCACCGAATATAACCACAGCTCCTTTACCCTCGCCCATCGCTGTCAAGACCTATCCTCATCGCCTCAATCCGGCAAGCTCTCCAGATCCGACCGGCACCAGATCTGAAAGCTCGACGTTTGGCTCGCGAGAGTTGCTCTCTCCATCTTCTTGTGGCTGCTCTCTCTGGTTCCATCTCCGAGATCTTGTGTCTCATCGTCGCTCACGCCGAGATCCAACATCAACCTTCTTGGCTTAACCAATCAACCTCGCGTCATTCCCCACTCACCCGTACCGGCAGAGACTCAGTTCTCCGAGCAACAATCGCAAGTTCTCCACAACCCCGCTCATCGGCTCTGCTCGCCGGAAAGTTTCTCCTGCCACCGACGGCCACAAGTTTCCTCCACCATCCATTGTGTGGTGTGAGATTGAAATTATGTCAAAAGATTATGGGCCTTCAAGGTCTTACTTGTTGAGGTCCAATTAAAGTATTGCACTCATTATTCTTGGCTTAGCCCACAAAGTGTTAAAAATCATATTTGAAAAATTCTCATTTGCTTTTAAGTTTATTGGCTTTTCCTTTTTTAGAAGTTCAAAGTTTTCTGAATTATCAAATCATGTAATTTACTCTCGGTGGAAGAGATCAATTATACCTTCTTCCATCTCTTTGAGACTGGTCGTATCTTTGTCACTCTCTTGAAGAGTGGTCGAATTCCCAAGCTTGATGCCGAGATCTTCAAATTAAGTCACATTAGAAAGTGACCAACCTGAGACTCTCCGGCTTTGCCATGAAGACCCTCTTGACACATCCGAGGCTTGCATCGGATCTACTGTCCATCTTCTGCGATGATCTATCTACTCTATGTTTTATTTCATTTCAATTATGTTGTAATAACGTCGGAGGATGGTCAATTTCCTCCTTTTGTACTATGATCGGTTAAATGAATGAATTATGTTTGTTGACAAAAAAGAAGAACTTATTGTCATTGTTATGAATGAAATTAGAATTAGTGCAAAC